GCTTCACCGAATCCAGTGAGGATTCAGGAAGTAGTGTTGCAACTGCCATATCGATCTGTAGTCAGTTGAAGCCTTGCGAGCTTAGATGTGACCATGAGTTACGGCCATAGACACATTGAGGCTGCGGAGCTCATGTCAACTCCGCCAGTGTCTCTCAGCGTCGGGCCCAAGCCTCAAGCGGTGGTTGTCGCAGCAACAGAACCACACTACTCCCGCCGAGGCATAGCGCCGTCGGTTCCCCGACTCTCCGATCCAAAGGCCTTTTTGGCCGATCTTAACTTCGTAGTTGAAGTGTCGCAGCCAAGAAAATAATACATTCTGCATCATCAACAACATGTCTACAACTCGTCTATACCATATGGTCCGTGGTCTACCAGGCCCCCGGACGCTCGGGAGACTTCGCCTCCAGGTCTCACCGCGATACTGCCAGTATTCCACTTCGGGGCATTTGCCGAAGATCGCTCAACCATCGTTATGGCAGTCCATGATTCCCAAGTTCATTCGAAATCGGCGCGCCAAAGCGGAAAATTCCCCTACTAAATCGAAAGAATGGAATCCCGCTAGTTTTTACATCGTCATATTCATCTTGATCGGGTCGCAAGCCATCCGAATGATTGCTTTGAAGAACGAATATAATGCATATACTCGATCAACCGACGCAAAGATTCGGCTTCTACGGGAGGTAATTGAGAAAGTACAAAGAGGGGAGAAGGTGGATCTGGAGAAATTGCTCGGCACCGGAGACGAGGCAAAGGAGAGAGAATGGGAAGAAGGTGCGGATTTCTGGTCGCTTCATCCATGCTTTTTATGAGGACTAACATTTCTCTCGTCCCACAGTTCTTCGCGAGATCGAGGAGGAAGATTCCCTCTGGCATCGGAAGAACACAGGCTCGGAATCCAACCGTTCAGGGACGCCTGAGCAAGAGCAGAAACAGCAGGCGGAAAAGGCTCGGTCTAAGGATCCCGTTGTTCCTGCTGAAGGGGTGTCAAGCCAGGAGCCACCAAAGGATGGTGCCGCAAGACGCAAATTGAACTTTTTCTAGGCAGGTTGAGTGTGTGGCCTTCCGCGCCAATCCAATAACCCATTCCCTCCCATTACGAATTCTGGCCTTCAAAGAGTCGAGTTCGTTCTTAAGAGACTTCGCGGGGACGCTCATGGTGCGACACGGAGCTTTGCTGAGTCTATCCAACTCAAATTCCGGGTTCGTGCCATCCTTTCGTTATTACGTCTTTGTCTGACCGAGACTTAGAATTTGGAGTCAGTAGATGGGACTTACCGCTCCCATCTTTTTGTTGATCCCAGTGGGAATTACTCCTGCACTTATCTTCTTCCTTGATACCCAGATGTTTTCAAGACCCCAGAGGATTGAATACACTTGTATATTATTGATTTCTCCTGTACAAATGTTGTCTTACGTGTATGAATATATCTTTCTTGTACTCCGTCTCCCAGTCCACGTCTGTTCATGCGGAACTTAAATTTACCTTTTTACCTAACCCATGTTTGATCTCATGAGCTGCACAAGTTTGTCTTGCATGTCGCAGAAAATATTGATTGCCTGCAGTGGTGTCAGTCATCCAGTCTTCCCCCGCGTTGTGTCATACTTCATCCAAACTTGCCTGTGTGAGTTTCTCTTCGCTTGCTCCATGCAAGTCCCGTGTGAAGGCAATTCTGTAAGCGGATTCGTCGTTGACAAATGACTGTTGTGCCACAGATATTGCTGGTGGAACATCAGAGTCAAAGAGAGACTCCATCTGAGGTGCAGAGCTGGGTTGCGAAAGCTGTTTCAGGAGGTCTGGAGCGATTGTGATATGATCGACTCCTGCCAGGGCATATATCTCGTTTGTTGATGTCAAGCTAGCTGGCAAGACCTTTGTTTTTGCATTGATGGACTTATAATGCTTCTGGATTGAAACACAGAGAGGCAAGAGCTTGTTTGGGTCCGTGAATCTGGCGATCTGTCAGTGCAACCTTGCTCGGATCAAGTCAAGCAATTCGCTGGAGATGTCATGCTCACCCTGGTTCGAAGTGGACCTTCAATTGATTGACATAAGGGGCTATATACGTGCACCCGACCTCCGCGGCTAAGATGGCCTGGGACATTGTGAAGAGCGTCGTGGCTAGCGTTCGCACCCCGGCCATCTCAAGAGCTCGGCAAGCCATCATACCCTCCCATGTACTCGGAATTTTGATGCAGATACGAGATTGCTCAAATCCTGGTTGCAGGTGTTGAAAGAGCTGGACAATTCCTGTGGCAGAAGCGCTTCGTTAGCGGAATTCCGTCAGAGAAACTGTTGACATACTCAAAGCGTTCACAATTGTGCTCTCAGTGGAGTAAGAGTAGTAAGGGTTCGTCTGAACATGAACGTACCCACGGATATGAGGAGCTATTTTCAAGGCTAATCTAACCATCTATATAATCATTGTCAGCTACTTAGCACTCTAGTACTATGCCAAAATTGTGCCTACCGCAATCTCAACTGCCAGCTCCTCCAGCCTGAGGCCAGTGAATCTGGGCAAAAGATCATTGGCATCTGAGATGGAATTGCGGATCAATCCGAAGTGTTCTGGCCTCGACAGTTCGCCGTACGCAATAGCCTTCATTGCAGGTTTTCCAAATCAGCTCATAGTCCTGATACTTTGTGAGACTGGACCACGACAAGTGCAACTTACCTGGTTTGAAGTACAGTCTTGGAACGGACCCAAGTCTCTGGCAACTGGTTATCTGTTAATAGACAGCCCGGCAGAGGCTGAGTCAAACACTTCACTGGGGCATTCTGATATGGGTACCTTGCTCATTCATTGTGTCACAGTCGACGATGGTTCTGCTGCGAAGAACGTCTAAGCCGGTTTGCATCGTAGCCATCTTGATGTACACTGGAAATAGAGAAGGATGCTAGGCTGGAGTAGGACGTTGAGAGTTTACGATGCCTTTAGGTTTGGGATACCGAAAAGAGGGGAAGGTCTGTTGTTGAATAGATATATGGAATTAGGGGTTGCCACGAAGCTTCCCCTCATGGCAAACGACTCTCAACAACTCAGAACAAAGGAAACTTATCCGACCAACTGAACTATCTTCCAAGTTTGCGCATGACTCCGGACCGAAGAACATCGCTTCAATAATGTCCGAAGTTGAACCTATCGAGGGGTTCGTCGCCCAAGCTTTAAACCGACTGGCCTACGAACATCGGTTGCTCCACAGCGAAAGTCACGCAGCTTGCTGAAAAAGCCCCCCCAGCCAACTTGAGTAACCGGCGTAATGACATACTGTTGGACTGTTAAGTGAGTCTAGGCTCAAGACTATCTACCCCTGCGGGAGTATCTTTGTACGGTTAAATGATAAGCCAAATAGTCTTCAGATATACATAAATCTTACTCAGTCCATCAAATTCTCCGCACTGCGGCTGCAGCAGACCCCAGAAATTTTTTCCCTTCGATGATAACAACTCGTAAGAGGAGCAGCGAAGGACTAGATAAATCATCCCGGTTGAGCAACTTTCTGTTCCCGTTGGGATCCCCTCCACAACGGTGGTGACGGGACGAGGGCCCCGCATAGGATTTGTGCAGACAGCCCAGGAAGAGACGGTGTCTACAGGCAGACAGTATCAGATACTTCATCACTAGGCCCATGACTGTACATAGAAAGTTATGTACCCGTCCACGTCATATTGTAGATGAGAGTAAGCTCTGAGGGCTATCCACCCTTTCAGGACTCGCGTAGAAAGGGCAGGACAAAAGTAACCGGGGAAATCGCTCAACTACCAAGTAGCATCATTCGCGACGTTACTCAACAAGGAAGATGCTGAAGACCACGACTTTCTTTAGCCTTATCCCTCGGATAGCGGTCTGTCATCTCATCTACCTCATAGAACAGAGGAATATAAGCACCTAAAGATTGAAGGCCAGATGAACGAATCATGCTGTGAAAATTTCCCAATTGGCGTTGAATAGGCACAATGACATGGACCGAATCCTGCGCTTGACTCGCGTTGAGTCTGCAATTTGCATCTTGTCGACTTGAATCGGGTGTTTCTCCTCAGATAGCCAGCTAGATTGATCCCCGGCCAGAAGCTTTGTAAGTTGTGCCCAAGCCAGTACATGTGATGTAAATGATGTGCTGTTATAAACGCACGGCGGTTGATCTTCCCTAGTTTGGGCTCGACAATAGTGAACAGAATCTAGAAGCCAGTTGGCTGATGTTGTGCTTTAACGATCTTCATATCGATATTTGGAAGCATCCAAACGACCTTAGAGACAGGCATTCTGACGAAGGGAGCATGGGGCATGAACGCCTTGGGGAGTTCATCATGCAAAATCGGATCAGGTCATGTCTGTATTTCAGCCAGATGTTTGCTCATCGGTTCTGACAGCTGAGGGATACAGCTGCTAAGATAGCGTAGACATATATGCTGAATTGACTTGGGAAGGCCTGCCAGTATCACTGCAGGCTTACTGAGAATCGGCTTAACTCTAAGACTACGCGACAGTATTATGTAACCCTGATATGAAACCCGTTCGTCTCATGGGCAGAGAAGAATGGGCGATTAACGACGGGACGAACATCTCCTTCTCAGGTATCTCGTAAATAACCTCTGCGGTCGCGACAGAATGCCGAAACCTGTGAGATTCAGCTTGGCACGTCAACATCATTCCAGACGGTAGACGACGTGGGCTGAGACCCTTAAAGAAGAAGAAGAAAAGGAAGAGAAGAGGATGGGAAAATCGCACACAAAAGGGAAGCACGGAAACTGCGAGCGGTGGTGGAATGGAAGAAGGATCTTCCGTGTGGTAATACGGTCGGAATGATTGGCTGGAATGGGCGCAGTATGGTCGAATCCCGTGACTTGACGCTTGCCCGAGGTTGACTATCCCGTGATTCCGAACCGCTACGAGAAGGTCCGACCCTCAAGATCGAGAGGTTCTTCTAGACGACGACGACGGCCAGCGTCTTGCCTGGGTTAGATCATTTGCATTCCTGAATTGAGACCTTTGCTTCACTATGATCTCTCAGAAGGTTGCTCAGCAATCGCTGCGGCGGCGTATGTTCACCCATTATTTGGCTCGGTAGTCGAGACTCTCTAACCATCCTGCAGTTGCCGTCCAGCAGCCCTACGCCATGCGGTGGTCTTTGATGAACTCTGCCTCTCCTGCCGCTGTTGCTATGGGAAGGAATGTACAGAAGAGGTGAGCCAGCCCACGCCGTCGCTGTTCATCTTGTGCTTTTCGCGTTGTTCCGCACCATTACCTCCGTCGGTCCATATTGGCGACACTGGCCGCTACGTCATGCGACACTCTGGTATACAGTTTCGGGGCATCAACGCGTTACAACGGAAGGAACATCATGGGAGTGGAATGGACGAATGCTGATGCGGATGACCAGACACGCTGCTTCCACCACATCCCAAGCCGACGCCTCCAAGATCCTCGCCCAACAGCGCTTGAACCGCCCCGTTTCCCCTCACCTCTCCATCTACCGTCCCCAGATCACCTGGATTGGCTCTAGCGCTCACCGTATCACCGGCATTGCTCTTTCTGGCTCCTTGTACCTTTTCGCAACCGCATACCTCGCCGCGCCTCTGTTCGGTTGGCACCTCGAATCGGCCTCTATCGCTGCCGCTTTTGGCGCTCTACCCATTGCTGCCAAGGTTTTCATCAAGGGTACCGCTGCCTTCCCTTTCGTCTACCACTGCTTGAACGGCGTGCGTCACTTGGTCTGGGATCTTGGACGTGGAATTTCCAACCAGCAGGTTATCAAGTCTGGTTGGACCGTGGTGGGCCTGACTGTGGTTAGCGCGCTCACTCTTGCTTTGCTGTGATTATTACTGTATTACATACCTTTGGTTTGTTGTTTTTCTGAAAAATTGTTTTCCCATACAATATACTTTATACTGTTCAAATGATTACTGATATCTGAGATATTCTTTTGGTCTACTATCCCCTACGTGCCTGCTACACCACATGGGAGAACTTGAGGAAAATACCGATGTAGGATCTCTCAGAGATAAGCGATTCTGCTATGTGATGACCGGACTGTGCCTAGCATCAATGGGATTAACAGGCTCTGATCATCAGAAAATTGGTGATATATTCGACGGCCGACTAATTTGACTACAGGTCATGGCGTCCATGGTGATCAGAATGGTATGGAATATAACCTGCAGTCTCTATTTTTCTCTCTGATCAACGCTCCTCAAGTAACAATCTATGGATAGCGCACATCATCGTGCAAGCCTAAGTTAAATAAGGATCCTTCCCAATGCATCCTCGCACTGCCTTCTTCGTTTCCGCTCATGGGATCATGATGAATTGCTTCGGAAATTCTTGAGATCATGTCAGCCTTTGCTGTTCGAGCTAATACTTATCTCCATTGCATGGAAAGCTATGAAAGGAATTTCGAGGCCTGGTTGGCTTACCTATTGTTGTATATCATCTCAGACTTAAGGTCGACAGCCAAGCCAACTCACGAACTCACGCAGGACTTGGAGGAGGATTGGGCGGAAACGGTCTCGGTGATGGTGGATCTTGAACAGAAAAGCTGCCTATCCAGTATCTCGCAGCGCTCTCATGATTATTCTGGAAGCCCCATTTCGCGAAAGGGTCGGAATTCGCAAGGAGGGTGTTACCGGGATTCTGCTGAGCCGCCATCTTTGAGGACGAGTAGGGATCTCCGCTTGGTTGTGTGAAGCTTGGAATAGGCAACAGGAAGCTATTGGCGGAACAGGACTGAGGAGGAAGGTCTTTCTCAGAGCTTATGTTCTGTGAAGACTTCCCTCGACTGGACTTGGCCCACTTGAGAACTGCTGAAGCTCATCATCGGTAACCAGGCCAGTCTCGCTTTTTAATACTTCATACTGCAGCGGCCATTGACGGCTACGAATGTGTTCTCCTTACCAAGTTAGGTAGTACACCGTCATCTCGCTGGTTATCCGACTTACGGGAAGAGGCCGCTTGGATCTGACTTCTACTGAATATGTACGTGCTTCCTTCACCTGAGCTTGGGATCTAGAAGTTTCCTCATTCATCTCTGCAAGGGCCCGAGGGAGCCCAATTTGTTAGACAGCTTGCCTACATTCCATCTTCTTCGTCCCTCATAGCTTCCGCTGGCGAGCAACTGCGGAGCTTGGGCGCTACCAGAAGATGCTCAACGCCATTACATATGTCAGAGCGCACTCTTGCTGTCCCGAACCATGGCAACCCCAGGATGCAGATCCCGACTTGGTAGTGACATCGGCGGATTTGGGGATATTGATCGTCGCGGCTTGTTGCATAGTAACGCATTTTGAGCCGAACGTTATCAATCAGATCAACACCGATGCTTTAATTAAACAAGCTGGGGTGATGAAATTTGTTTCTGGAAGCATCTTACCCCGATGAAGAAGTTTCCCTATCCAGATGTCTGAGGAGGTCCGAGATCGGTCACTCTGCTTGGCTGAGAACCTACTTCTACTGGGCAAGAGAACGTAGAGTCAGTCTAGGCCTGCCAGGATCGATCATCATGGAGCTAGCGTCTGAGGCAAACAATCCACCTGCTGGGCCTTCCTTTTCGACAACCCATCATTAACATAATATCTAAATGACCGCGATATCTCGCTGTCTGGCTCTGGAGCAAGCTCAGAATGAGAACTCTCCAATGAATTGCCTAGGAAATGACGGTGTTTCTGGGGGTACAAATGAACCTTCTGCGCGACTCAAAACACTTGAATCAAAGCATGATCACTACATCTGAACACGTGGACAAGCTCCATTCTCCCTGGGGGTCGCACCCGTCAGAAAAAATATCAGCAAAAGTGGGCGAGAAAGTGGGCTTGCGATCAAGCAGTCTATGTTCAAATAACAAGAGGTGAATTGGATCATTGCCTTCACTGAAGCCGTCTTACAATTGTAGCCCGCACACCGGTCTGTTAGCAATATAGCTGGCTGAATGATGTCTGAAGGAACTGCCCTCAAGGAGAGGACTTGTCGCACAACGTTGGTGTGGGAAGGCTGGGTTCCGGGTTCTCTACTCCTCAGCAACCCGCTGGGAGAAGAACCATCTACAGGAGGACATCTCCTAGCCCAGTTGAGGGGTTCTGCGGATTACCTTCTGCAAGTCAATTCACCAAAGATCACAACATGCTCTAGCTCATCGATCAAGCTGAATGTTTTAAGCTTATTCTGGCTTCGCAGTGTGACCAAGCAAATGATGTTCTAGAAAAGTGTTTAATTCACGGGTGGCTGCGAGTCAGCTTCCGACGTCCCTGCTTGACTTGCGTGCAGTGTGACCTGGATCAGATGCGCCGGTAATTTGAAGTGCTTACCAGGGTACTCCTTGTTCATTGAGTGCTTACCGCTCTTTCACCCTACATTGACGCCGTCATTTCCCGATACTTCGCCGCATAGGACCCAGGAGGCCTCATTGACTGGTTGGGATGATATACCCATTATAAGCTCTTCGACTATTTTGTGATCTAGCAATAGAAGCATTCCAAGCCGAAGCTGATCTGGCTTGCAGTGAGACTCTTAAGGTCTGAAAGAGTCATCATATGAAGCTGGACTTCCTGAGTCAATCTTATTCTAAGCTAGATATTTGGAGCCAAGGCCTAATGGTCAACAACGATCCAAGTCATCTCACATTGGGAAAACAATAACGTTGCTTCCTGAAGAGATCCATTGAATGTGTAAGATGGGATTGAACAAAGTCTTGGACACGTACGCAAGCCTGTCGAAGCAGGACACACTGCTTGATATTGGACCCTCAGTGTCGTAGTGAAGGATCTCTTCGGCAGTCTGTTTGCTTTCTTGATTAAGACAGTACTTTCAATCGCCTCATAAATGTCGAAATGAGCGATGAGAGTACGGCGGCGCAACCACAGACTCGTCTTCAGAGATGCCAATAGCCCTTTGACTGATGTACTGGTACGTCTTGTGGACCGCCGCTTCGATGTCGAACCAGGCTAGCTTCTCATTTACGACTGCGATCGTCCAGGAGGAAGCTGCGCAAATTCGAGAACTTGTGTCTAACTGCATCAGTTCACATTTCCATAACAATAGATCAAAGCGAACAATGCGAATGCAGCAAGGAAGTTGGGATAGCATTTGGTGGTTTGACCTGAAGATCCGATAACTATTTACTGTACCTACCCGCGCTATCCATTTTGGGACTAGCGTCATATCTCCGAATTCTTCCATCTGCAACTCCGACTCTTGCTTGGATTATCGCTACAAAAAAAGAACCGGACAGGTGGATTGCCACGGTTTACAGTTTCCACAGCCCGGGGACTTCATTTTGCAAAGACAATGGCATCTTTGACATCCGCCCGAGCGGCCAGGACTGCTCTTTGCTCTGCATGTCGCTTCGCTTGTCCCAGCACGACCGTTGGACCTGCTACAGTCATCGCCAGGCGCGGACTGTCGACAGCAACCGAGCAAGCACCAGTCGACACTGCTGATAAGCCGCGATGGTCCTATACTCCTCCAAGCGCAAAAGCTCCCTTCAGTCTGCGATTCGATTCTAAGAGACGAGAGTTTCCCGTCAATTCAGACCCGAAAACTCTCGACCAATTCTACATTCGCATGCTGGGCGCCGATGGCGACAAGGTTCTCTCAGAGGAAGTAAAGTGGCTGGCTGTGACACATAAGAGCTTCGACCAAGGACGAAGAGGCTTCAATGATCGCTTGGCCTTCCTAGGTGCGCATACTGGATTCCCATCCGTCGGATGAGACGGTAGCTCGCAGGCGACTAATTCTGCTGTTGCAATAGGGAAACGGATCGTACAACTACAGGCCTCTCTGGCTTTAGTGCAGAACCCCGGAAATGCCAGCAGCTCAACCACTCCTGATTCCTTCGGTCGTGAACCCTTTGCCCACCCGGCCCTGGAGGGCCTGAAGAACCTCTCACCTAGCACGAAGAGCTTCCTCACAAGCAAGCCGAAGCTCGCAGAGCTCGCGCAGAAGTACGAGTTGCAGAAGGTCCTGAGGTGGAGTCCTCGAAAGGTGAGAATGGTGTCTCTTACAGTTTTTGCTCATCCTCGCCCTTCCGAGTAATTGACCGCGTTCTTGCTGACACGGGTCATTTCTTCCAGCCAAACAACCTCGCCAGCTCTGGAATGGAGCTTGTGCTTGCCCATACCATGTATGCAATTATCGGTGCTATTGCCCTCGAGAAGGGCGGACACGTCGCCAACAAGGTGGCACGAGAACGGGTATTAGAACCTCTAGGTCTTAAGACGACAGCTTAAAATCGGGATTTCGTTACTGGGAAATGGCCGCAGGAGCATTATCAGGGCGTTGTTTCCATTTGTTTTCCTTTCTTGTCTCCGTCTCGGATGTTCCTTGTATGTGTTGGGGGCTCTCTTCTTCCACCGTATATGTACTTTTATTACGACTTGTGCTATATCACTGCAAATACCAGAGCTCTTCGTTGTCGAATATACTTCGTTATGCGAAAGACCCCAGGAAACCATCAAGATCAATTTGAACACAAGGAATGTACGGTCCCTCTGACGCCGCCCGAGTAACAGTAAGAAAAATACCCGGCCAGCTCTTATGGAACCCTCATTACGATTTCAGTCTTCGCACCTCTGTATCGCAAGTCAACCATGGAGGCCTGCAGACCATTGTGAACAAAATGTTACAATGGCCGCAGAAATTACACGAAGCAATTTGTGCTGCCTTGCACTGTCTATTGGGAGCGTAGAGAAGAAAAAGGAAAAAAGAAGAGAGAAAAATCCGAAGCAGCGAAATATAAACCCTTTCCCCGGGAGGGCCGCTAAGCTTCTTCGGGACTTGGCGTGGGGCTGAGATTTGAGTTCCTGAAAATTAAGGTGTTGACGGGCTG